ATATAGACGGTACCGTTTCGGCCTAATGGGCCTCATCAGTGTAGTGCTGATGAGCAGGATGAAAGTAACTCTTATTTATAGTTACCTTTGATGCCTCACGATTGTGGGACATCAAAACCATGCCAGAGCGCTCAAAACTGCAAGCAGTGAGCGTGCGCAATGCGTAAGCGGCATGGCTCATCCTGTAGAGCGCTCAATATGACCTAAAGGCCATAGAGCGATATCTAACTATAGACGGTACCGTTTCGGCCTAATGGGCCTCATCAGTGTAGTGCTGATGAGCAGGATGAAAGTAACTCTTATTTATAGTTACCTTTGATGCCTCACGATTGTGGGACATCAAACCATGCCAGAGCGCTCAAACTGCAAGCAGTGAGCGTGCGCAATGCGTAAGCGGCATGGCTCATCCTGTAGAGCGCTCAATATGACCTAAAGGCCATAGAGCGATATCTATATATATATATATACATATATATATATATATATATATATATATATATATATATATATATATATATATATATATATATATATATATATATATATATATATATATATATATATATATATATATATATATATATATATATACATTGTAACAGAGGATAATTAATTATTGCTTCAGTTAATGGCTATTAGACTATATTATAAAACAATTATACCATTCGCTCTCGTTGTATATGGCTGATAGCCGACTCGGTGCTACGCACCTCGTCGGCTATCAGCTCATATACGACTCGAGCTCATGGTATAATAGTTAAATATATATATATATATATATATATATATATATATATATATATATATATATATATATATATATATATATATATATATATATATATATATTGTTAAAATTGTAACCAGGATTAGACATATTATTGAGATGTAGAACGATTTGACACTGGTTTGATAAAAACGTTAAAAACTAAGTTTATTTAAAAAGATGTTAAGACGTTTCGACCAATGACTTAGGTCTTCGTCAGTTAAAGAGTTGACTAGGTTCAAAACTGAACAATATGTAAAGGTTCAGAGTCAATTAGCAGATAAGTGTTTTATACACATCCGGTATCTCGACAAGGTCGTTTTCTGCGAGATACCGGATGTGTATAAAACATTTATCTGCCAATTAACTCTGAACCTTTACATATTATTCAGTTTTGAACCTAGTCAACTTACGAAGACCTAAGTCACTGGTCGAAACGTCTTAACATCTTTTTAAATAAACGTAGTTTTAACGTTTTTATCAAACCATATATATATATATATATATATATATATATATATATATATATATATATATATATATATATATATATATATATATATATATATATATATATATATATATATATATATATATATATATATATATAGGATTCGGGTGAAAAGATTGGGTGGAGGGGACAGAATCCAGTGTGAGCTGGAGAAGGATTATGAATAACAATCGTTTACCTTGGCAGGATAGTATTCCATCACCGGTGAAGCCTTCATTACACTCGCATCTAAAGGAACCAATCGTGTCGATACAAATAGCATGTTGATGACAAATAGTTCTTGCACATTCTTTGTCATCTGAAGGAAAAAACTAAATATTATATAGATGTCAAGAGAAATGGTTTGCAGTCGCGGATAAACTTTTCTTTAAAACTATCATGGTTAAAGCCACATAGTGCCGACACAAAGTTTCGTCACTGCATTCTGTCGTGAGAAGCTCTCGTGATATCACTTCAAACGTATTGCTTGACTCTTGTTTTTTCGCGCCGTCAACGAATGGTGAAACAGAAGTTGAAAATTTTAAGCAACTGTAGCAGGAGAACAAATTTCTTCAGCGGCGAATGAATGTAAAAAAAAGATTTTTTGTCAAAATTTTTCGCCAGCGGCGGCGAAATACGGAGTGGAAAATGGGCATTAAACTCATCTAGGAGTCTCTTATTGGAAACATGGCTAGAAATCACATGTACAGACTTCACTTATTCTACTTCCTTCGTAACTTGCATATTGAAAACATTGTCAACCTACCGTATTCTCTGATTTTTCGATTTACAGCGTCACATAACATAATTTACTGCTTACGGCCGAATCCATATAATATGAATGGGTTATGTATCGATGATATGCAAATTAGTAAGGAGGTAGCAAATTTCTGTCAGTGATTTTTAGCCATGACATATTAGCTTGGCTAGGTCGACAATAACATACTTCTGTCTTCCCTACAGCTTGTTTGTAACAATCATGGTTAATGAAAATGTTATTGTCTATCACGACAACAGGTTAACGTTGTTTATCACATTATATCATTCCAACCAAAGTACAGTATTTTGATCCCCCGTACTAGAAATAAAATCTGAAAAAGACGAACAGTCACAGATAGCTTTCTCGTTGTTCCCTGGAGTGATTGACTTCCACCCTTCTTCATATCTCTGAGAATGATTACATATATGTAATACTTGTACCATTGCAGTTGACCTTAGAATGACATAATGCGTGGCACCTGCAGGGCAACTAGAAACAAATCAAAACTCCCGGAAGATCAGCGCTAACTCACTGTGAAAATTTAACTCAGTGTTCATTTGGTTTACCACATCATTCTATTTCAAAACTTCATAAAACAACACTTTTATTTGTCCGGACAAGATTTTTGGGGAAATATTTATATTTAAATAAAGAACGCGTGGGAGTGCTTTGTATGACTTTAAAAACGACCCTTCTTATGAGTTCATTGGCGATGTAATCCTAAAAAACCATTGTCTGACAATCTAAGCTGAGAAAATCCAAGCTAAACTTTATGTAAATTAACATGATATTTTATCACATATAAAACCACCGACACGGTAGTGGTTTCCTCTGTCTTTTCCTCGTAAATTAATAAGCTTTTAAAATTTTTATAAACACGCCGTTAGGAAGATAGTATTTAATTAACCTATAGGATTAAGGTGGCTATCTACAATTTAAAAATAAGAGAAATTCATGAATTTGATAAAACGTTTTCAAGGAATGTTCTTGTCTGAAATAAAAAAATTGTGTAACTTTTATAATGCAACAGTCTAACGCCCGTATTCTAATAGCTTACTCACACTCACACTCAATGTGTGGAGGTTCAATCTGAGCTTCTCTTTTGTTTTAATGCTGTTTTTGAATAGCTGGAGGGCTAGTATCATACCTTACTCGGTGACCACTCACCCTCCAGCTATTCAAATTGTCACTAAAGAGAAGCTGAGATTGAACCTCCACTCATTGAGTGTGAGTGAGCTTTTAGAATACGGGTGTAAGAATTTGGAATTGGTCACAAAAGTGATGTCACCACTGTTGTTATGGCAACAATGATGATTCAGAATAGCCGATATCTTTTGGCTTTTAACGCATGTTGCGCCTATTTACCCCCATTTTATCAGGTAGTGAAATATTTTCCAAAATATGGGTAACCAGGTGTTTTTTAAGTTAAGTTAAAAGTGACGTCACATTTGTGACCAATTTCTAATTGTTGTATTGTTGCTATATACATGGTGTACCATTTTTATTTTGTTTCTAGCAAACGACATCCCTTCAAATAGTTGATCTAATTTATGCATTTTCAACATTTCGTTAAAATCTATAAAAGCTAACTGGCGTTCGAACAAGATCCCCCAAATTTATAAGCAGATTCAACATTTGCCATGGATCAATAATTGTAAGAGGTCTATAATTATATGTCCTTACATTGACAAGAAACTCCGTTTCCAACAAATCCTGGCAGACAGACGCAGCTAAATGATCCGGGTTTATTTTGACAACTTGCATTTACATGACAGTTATCTGTTCCAAGAGTGCACTCGTCATCGTCTATTAAATAAAAATAAAAACCAAGCAAATATATAATTGAAAAGCAAAGACAAGCTTCTCTGGTTTAGTTAATTTATTTTCAAATTGGAAGCGTAAAGGGCTGAGATCTATTATAAAACTGCACCCAAGTGACAGACGAGTGCATGCAGACGGGCACAGACGAGTAACGGCAAGTAACAGGCGACTACAGACGAGTAAATTTTGTAAATACAACTAATAAACAGCATTTTGACGGATTGTTTTTAATCAGTGATGCAATATTTATACATGAATTTAACATACATGAATTTAACGTCTTTAATAGCATATTCTAAACAAATATCATATAAACCGAAAAAGTAGTTCTAAAGCAATTGTTTGACATGCTTTTCCGTAAACAATATTCGGTGACGAAACCAAATCTAAACGAAGAAAACTAGTAAATAAACATAGCTCAAAAATACCTTTATAGCACTCAAACAAATATATGAAAATCAGAAAATGTGTTTAAGGAGCCAATATAATAAACGGTTTTTTAACCTCGTTTTGCTCAGTCTGTACGGGAAAGTATTTGCCTTCGGTTTATCCGCACAGAACTCGCTCCTTCGTCGCTCGGTCTGTACGAAAACCTCAGGCAAATACTTTCCCGTACAGACCTCGCTCTCGGTTAATAACCCTTTAATATCTCAGAGTCAGTCAAACAATGACAACAGTCAACAGTGGCCCCCACACCAAATATGCCTAAGGGCCATCGTCCTCCGTTACGCCACTGTATGTGAGATTTCTGTCTTTAGCCGTTATTGTATGTAAAGGTGAGAACTGTATTACCATAATCATAAAATTATTTGCAATTTTCGGTCAATTTGGATCGTACTTGTGTACCTCACTTGAGTAAAATTATGCTACTGAAAACCGTGATTGAAACCCAAGAATTTAATACCTTGCTCAACGACGTAAAGTTCAACGTAAATTACACAAATGCGATCCACACAGACTCAAAATTGCAAACAGTTTTATGACTATAATAGTACATTTTTCTCCTTCACTTACAAAAGCGGCTAAAGACAGAAATCTCACATACTGCAGTCGCCAATTGCCATTTTGAAAAATATTGCATCATTTGTTGAAACAAATCCGTCAAAATGCTGTTTGTTGTTGTATTTAGAAGATTTACTCGTCTGCAGTCGTCTGTATTTGTTTATAGTCCTCTGTTTCTCGTCTGTAGTCGCCTGTTACTCGTCTGAGCTCGTCTGCATGTACTCGTTTGTTACTCTCTGTCACTCGGGTGTAGTTTTAGAATAGATCGAGGGCAGATAACTGCACTACCCTGACACGCGCACTTCAGGTTTGATTAAATCACTTCTGTGCTTCAAGGATTTTCCTCGGGGTCCTCCAGTAACTTCTTTCCTCGAATATTAAACTAAACCTTAGGTCCTAGTTGCTAACATGAGCGCACGAGACGGGGAGCGGGGGCAGCTACACCCCCCTCCCAAAAGTCGGAAAAATTCAAACGCAAGTCGAGAAAATGTTAAACGCATCAAATTTTAAAATTGAGCATAAAGATGGGGAATTAAGTTAAAAAGTAAGGTATGTTTAAGATAATAGTAAAAAATGCAAGAAATATGTATTGCATGCAAAAATATTAACCGTTCGAAAAGTTCCCCCACCCGGTCAACAACAACTTCCGAAGTTTACCAGTGGAACATTTGTTTGATTGTTTGGCTAAAATGCAAAAATGTTGGGAAAATTTCTTTTTCCCTCTAATTTTTTCCCTCACGTACGCCAATGGTTGTCGAGCACGCGTAATGTATCAAGAACCTCTGGCTTGGGTGGATTGGAAAACCACCCCCTGTGTGAATGGCATTACATGAATTATTCTACGAAATAAAAATCATAAAAATACCGTTGCAGAAGTTATGTCCACCACCAGAGAAACCAGTTTTACACACACAGTCATAGGAGCCCAGGGTATTGCCACATGTTGCATTTGCGTGACACGGATTGTTATCACATTCATTGATATCTGAAAAAAAGATTGGTAAGTCAGTGCTTTCACTCAATGCCAGATCATCAGCAACATAGACTTGTAAGTAATATTTCAAATCCGACTATGAGGACTGAACTAGATTTCAAGTCCGCGCGCAATTTGATCACGTCCGAGGCGAAGCCGAGGACTGGATCAAAATGCGAGGACTTGAAATCTAGTCCAGTCCTCATAGTCGGATTTGAAATGACATCTCATACGAATAAATCACTACTTAATTAATTTTGATCCAGTCCTAGGACTGAATTAATTTTGATCCAGTCCAAGGAAAGGATCAATATACTTCATCAGGTATCCAGTATTATCATGTGAGCAAAATAAAGCAATATGGTTGGCTAATTCACTCATGAATTATTAATGAATTTGAGATCAAACTATAGGGTACACTATAACGTATTGTCTCATTATGTCAAAATATTATGTCTCGACTTCAATATTAGACTCAACCTTCAGTCTCGCCCAATATTGAAGTTTCGCTTTAATACTTTTACTTTAATACTTTACTACGTTGGACTCAAAAGAATCTAATAAGTTATAGGTTACAGTTCGGTAAACAGTCAGACAACATTGGATTATTTAAATATAGTATACTAGCTTTTTTCTTTACTTATATTTAGCATTTTGAGTATATTTGGAACAAATTGATGTACAGTATAAGGAACATGCATAACCGAGCATGGGATATAATAATCCAAAATCCGAATTGATTTGGATATTCGGATACTCACTTCAAATTTGCAGCGTTGTGATCACAACGTGAAATCAGGGCGCTATAAAACACGGGCGGTGAAACGGAGATAGCGCCCCTGATCTTTGCAGGGCTCTCAGTTTTAAGGAAATTTCCTTAAACTGAGGAAATTATCAGTTTTTAAGGAGACTTTTAAGGAAATAGAAATTTTAAGGAATTTCTAAGGAATTTTTAGTTTTTATCTAATATTTGAAAATATTGAACAAATATTTAAAAATTCAGTCAATTCAGCTGTATTTATGCAAAAATACTTTTTAAAAATGAAGGAAATGCAGTCTTACGCATTCACGACTGCAAAAATGTTTCAAAGGAAGATATTCCTTGACCAAAAATGTGAAATCCCTTCTGACGATGCTGCTCAAAATCCTAATTCCCAAATGAGACAAAAATTCTGGGAACCTAAGTTTGTAATTCTCAATCATTCAGACCATTAATTACCAAAAAAACATGCCTGCCCCACGTTTAAGGAAATTTTACTAAATCTGAGGAATTTTTTACCGAGAATCTAAGGAATTCTAGGCAATAGGAAATGAGAGCACTGGATCTTTGTGTGATGCGCCAGGGCGCTGTAAAACACGGGCGGTGAAACGGCTATGGCGCCCCTGATCTATGTGTGATGCAGGTTCCCCCGCATATTTTCATTTTTATTCGAATTCGATGTGGTTTGATCAGGCATGCATGTTTGTTTTGACTTCTTTTTAAAATTACTACGTAAAAAGGTACAATTCAAGCTGAATTCACAATGGATTTGGGATCTGTGCTATTACTATAGACAAAATCTTTTTTCCGGATTCTTAATCACGGCTGATTATATGGGGAATGTTGTAGTGTAGATATATTAAAGTCTGGGATCTCACTCACGAGGATCGATTGTTTTTGCAAAACAACTTCGTTCGTTTATAAGATGAAAAAAAAGACGAAGAAAAAGTTTTTTAAACGGCTGTTGTTGTAAAACCTGCAACTGGAATGTGTGTTTGGAAATCAGGTATGTTCAATCACATATGTTTTTTTGTCAAGTTCCACCAGATGAAGCGCCATAAATTGATAAAAACAGCAAGTTCTTTTTTTCAAGCGATAGTTTATTGTCGCAGTTTTACAAGCGCGGAAAATTTTTAACTTTTAAATATTTCATGCACAACATATGAAACCTATTTTTATTTTGATGTTTTTGTATAATTTAAGTACGTAATTTTCTGAAAATCACCAAATGAAAATGGGCTTTTTTAATTTTTAAACATTTTTTTGGCCTTGTTTTTGACATGTAGATGCCAAATCTACACATGAAATACAAGCAAGCGATAGTTTGTTGTCGCAGTTTTACAAGCGCGGAAAATTTTTAACTTTTAAATATTTCATGCACAATATATGAAACCTATTTTTATTTTGATGTTTTTGTATAATTTAAGTACGTAATTTTCTGAAAATCACCAAATGAAAATGGGCTTTTTAAATTTTTAAACATTTTTTTGCCCTTGGTTTTGACATGTACATGCCAAATCTACACATGAAATACAAGCAGCGATAGTTT